ATATATATATATATATATAAAAATACAGAATCTATAACTGTATGCAGTATAAAACATAAAAAATACTATGCAAAATATAGTGCATATATACTATATACAAAGTAGTAAACTCCTGGTTTACTGTCCTGTCTCCTGATAATTCCTCCTGCCTCTGGACACTATGCTAACAGACACAGCAAAGCTTCTTGCCACAACATGCATCGATGTGCCATCCTGGATGAACTGCACTACCTGAGCCGCTTGTGTGTTTTTCCGTCTCATGCTACCACAAGTGTTAAAGCACCATCAACATTAAAAATTGACCAAAACATCAGCCAGACAGCATAGCTACTGAGAAGTGGTCTACGGTCCCCACCTACAGAAAAACTCCTCTATAGAGGTTGTCCTGCTAATTGCCAATAATTTCCACCTGTCTGTTCCATTTGCACAACAGCATGTGAAATTGATTGTCAATCAGTGTTGCCTTCTAAGTGCACAATTTTACTTCATAGAAGTTTGATTTGATAGAAGCTATACTGTGTTTTTTACGTGTTCCCTGTTTGTGTTTATGTGACACATTTCACAGCCTAATTTCTATCTCTTCAGCAAAACATCTTAATTATTTGATTGATTATTTGCCTCCAGTTTCATTTTCCGTTTAGGGTTTTTGGTGCTTCTCAAATCAGGCTTTTTCTTTTTACTTTTAATGTGCATGTCACAACTTTTACACCTAAAGCTTTTCACAAAAAAGCCTCCTTTAGTAGCAACAATGAGAGCATTGATAATAATAATCAATTAATATCTGATCTACTGATTTTCAAGTCTGCTTTGTAATGATTGAAGATAAAGGGGAAAATATTAAACATTGACTGCAGTAATTGAGTGTGCCCATGAAGAGATGTTTCATTACAACAGTTCCAGAGTGGCGGGCATTGACTTACTTGAAGCATCGACGAGGCAGCTCATTGATTTCTTCAGACATCCAAGCAATCTGAGGCACATGTCCAAAGGTAAACAAGGTCAATAGCATGGCAATCGAAACTACTACATTTGTCTTCTAAGGATGAGTGGTTCATAGATTTCTAAAACCTTTGATCGTCTTTCTGTCTGATCTGATGGTGAAAGACATTTGTACAAAAGGATGTGCTATTGGAGGGTTTTACTATCATGTTACTGCATGTTTACAAAGCAAAAGCTACTGAAGGACATATTTTTTCAACTGTCCCTACAAGAAAGTTGGATGAATATTCATGCTTAATGATCTGTTTTTCTAATGATAAATGTTATTTCTCTGAGATTCCAAGCCTTAATCTGCTCTATTTTATGGAAACACTACCTTTTGTTTCATTTTATGAGAATTCCTTCCTGGGTCATTTTCCATTAAAGCCCTTTGGTGATTACCACATCTAACCTTTGTCTGACTGACTGGTTGACATTAGGAGATGGATAGCTATCAGTGGCTTTGATTCTCTGTTTCTAGCTCATATAAAAAAACATTTTTTCAAATTTAGGGGTGAAATCTGATCAAATCATGAAACTGTGGCAGCAGAGTTCTAATATACAGCTTTGTTAAATGCCAAAAATAAAGCATTTTGCTACTATAACTTTTAGGTAAGAACTGCATTTTGTCACAGTTGGTAAATTTGGGTAAAACAGTGGCGAAAAGAAGAAGACATAAAATTGTACACAGAATATAAAGGAATATATAGAGAAAAAAACAGAATTTAGAAGTTAGGCTGTACAGAAGAAAAAGTGAAACTTACCATCCAGTTATTGAGAAAAATAATATTTAGGTAAGAAAAAAATATATCAAAGCAGTTAAAAAACATCTCCAAATAGTCACCAACAGATCTTCCTTAATGTTTGTAAGACAAGGGAATTAGAACAGTTCCAAAGAACAGCTCCAAATGACACAAAACTTATATGGGTGAGTAGAACATGATGTAATAACGTAAAATCAAGGGTCAATGTCAAAATAACAGCGTTTCCCTTTAAAACTCTGAGCAACCAGTAGAATATTTGTTAACACTAAAGAGTTAAAGGGTCTAACAAGATATTCAACTTATCTAAATGCTTTAGTTGCAGATAAGCTATTCCTCTGACAAACCAGACCATAGAAGATGCTTGATGCGACGGCAGAGACAAAGAACTTCAGTATTACTCCAAAAAGGCCTCAGTTTCCTCAGCAGGCATAGTCTGCTCTAACTCTTCCTGTAAAGGGCACTACTTGTATTACTCAAGATCACATTCTTGTTGAGGTGAAGACCCAGTCTGCTTTCTCAACATCTGAACCATGCATCTCCACCTGAGCTGGGTATGATTCCATAAAACTCTGTATCAACTTGCTGTACACCAAGTTGTTGGGCCCAGTCCCATTTCTATCACTTGGTTCTGAGAACACTCCAATGAGTTCCCTCCACAGTGAAGTACACTCAGTGACGGAAGTGCAAGTAAAGATTTTCTCCCTAAAAAATGGGACACCACTAGTTGTAAAATTACATCCCAGCCCTACAGTAGATGGCGGTAATAAATAGCCTGTACACTTTAGTAAGGTGTTCACCTGCGTCATGCGTAAACACAACCTGAGTCACAACCCTTGGAAACTCTGCCATACTCATAATTCTTCACCAAACACATCCATAATATCGAACTACAAATATGTTACAAAACGTAAATAGTCCATTTATGAGCCAGCATGGATAAATAAAGGTATCACAACTAGTGTTGCGCTGATGCCATTTTTTGGCCCCGATACGATACCCGATACCTGGCTGTGCAGTATTGGCCGATACCATCTGTTTGAAATTGATCTGTGTGTTAATATATGAAGAACTGTATACTACTTGGATGAAAATAATTGCCATCATGGCTTTGGCACGCTGCTGCCTACCTTTGTGAAGCGGGAAAAAGACTAAAAGTGAATTCAGTAGAACTTTTTATTGCCTACCTGGAATGTATGACAATAGTTGAATAAACTTTCGGCTCTCAAAATGGTAACAGTGCCCTATTTGTTGGCACTCGCTGATACCGATACCACCATTTTTGTGCTCAGGGCCCCCGCCCGATAATATCGGTATCGATGCAACACTAATCACAACCATCTCTAAATTAATTGACAATCATGGTTATATTATTAACTATGACAACTTTTTGATGAAACATAAGTTTCCATTAAGATGCAATACAAATGAATTATGCATTGGGATCCCCAATGGACTCTAACAGTTATTAAAATCCTCAGAATTTACTCAAACTTTTACCTCCAAATAGTTTCTGCATTTTCTTGGTACCAAATACAATAACAAACACATACAGAACACATTTCAACAATCCAAATGCCTCCTAATCTGTATTCACCCTCTGCAAGAAAAGGCTACAACCCTAAACATACCAGAACAGAGTGCAAATACAGTATAGACCTAAATCAAATGTACTTTTGCGGCAAAACATACTTATATATGCTCTCTCTCTAATTTTACTGCTGTTGTGATATTTTTTTAGAGAACTACAAATTTAAGTTGAGGTTGCACAAACCTGATAGCCACATACCCCTAAAAAGTTGCAGCTGGAGCAGAAAGTATTATTGTACCCACCGTAACTGAACATAATTCAAGCGTTTTAAATCGGATTATATATTTGTATGTGCATGTATTTATATATTTTTGCAGTAGATTATATACCAAAAATGCACACTTTTGCAATACAAACAGCTGGCTTGCATAATTTCACATATGCAAACTGTGCCCTCCACCATAACAACGGAGCTGCACATTTTAGGATGCACGTCATCATTCATACTTGCGCTGCTTTTTTAACCTCCCTCCGAGCACGACCTCCGCTGGGTTTATTTCCGTTAATTCTTCACGCGCTATGCACGCTTGACTCTGCAGTGAAATGTCTGAGTTTGTTGGGGGGAGGGGGGGTTAGAGAGATGAGGGAAAGACCAAATTATTGCTATATTGGACCATCCACCGGTGCAGCTGGTCTATTTTTAGCCGGGGACTACATCAGCTATGACTGCAGACGCTGAGAGGGGAAATCACCAGCGCTTGCTGCTGTCTTCTTCCATCCAGTGACCCTTCATTGAAACAAATCAAACATCAACATTGACTCTGATACACAGCTTGAGAGAAAGTCAAGGATGATAAAAGAGATGTGTTTTTAGGATATGTTTTTGAGAGTTTTTGGTGAGGTATTTTTTTTCCAATTAAGACCGATTTAGGTCAGTTCGGAACGCAGGTGAATCCCATCTGAGGCAAAGCAGGTGGTCTGCGCACACCAAGATACAGAGAGAGAGAGGGAGAAAGAGAGAAAGAGGGAAGTAGCGCGCGGCACAGTGGTCGGGCTGCACACCAACAACAACCAACCTGTGGATAGAGCGCGCGCGGTGCGCCATCGCCACCTCTCCTTTTCTGATTTGAAGCCCGACATCCATCATCCATGGCCCGGGAGAGGATGCCGGGTTCATACACCAGAGGAGGAGAGCAACCTAAAAGTTGAGGGGTCGTGTGCCAGTCCCCATCCCTCCTCCTTCCCACCTCAGCTTCATGAATGGCAGCACCATGGAGGAGATGCCGTTCGAAAGAGTTAAGACGCGGCGGAGGAAAGGTCGCTGCCCGCCCGGCACACCACTGGGATCCATCGAGTGCGAGGATGAATTCAAAAGCCAGGAGCTGGAAACTCTCTTCCAGACCTACAACCTGAAGCTGGAGCAGACCGCTACCCTCAAGGCTCTGGCGGTGCTCATCGTGGCCGCGTCGTCGCTGTCTCTGGTGGAGCTGCTGTCCAGCCAGCGGCTCACCTTGTCAAAGGGCTCCTACCCGGTGCACTGCGTGGTGTTCCTGTCGCTCTTCATCGTCACCAACGTCAAGTACCTGCAGGTGACGCAGCTGCAGCAGATCGCCAAGCTTGCCCTGCTGTTCAGCTTCACCTTTGCGCTGCTCTGCTGTCCGTTCCCACTTGCGTTAGGTACGGCGGACGCGGTGAGCGCCGCAGCCCCGGAGCAGGGTGTATGGCAGCTCATGCTGGTCACTCTGGTGGCTTACGTGCTGCTGCCTGTGCGGACGCTGCTGGCCGTGTTGTTTGGGGTGATGCTGGCTACAGCCCACTTCATTGTAATTGCGACCTCCGTGGCCGGGAAGAGGCAGAAACCGTGGAGACCGGTGAGTGCAGCATCCTTACACTAACTTTTTCAAAATAACTGCACATCAAATGCTTTATTACCACTCAAAGTCTCTAAGCTGTGGAAGGCATAAGCTTTGCTTCCATCGGTAGTTAAGAGAAAGGTGGTTTACGCATCCAACTCTTTTTGGAAAGGCAAAGGTTAATAAAACCATGTGCATTGATTTCAGCCCCAGGACAGTAAAGATGTGTCCGCGTGTTTCCGCAGCAGCTGAAGCAGATTAGGAGCTGTCCGGCTGTCGGTGCTGAATCAGGAATCAGAACATATGTGTTGAGTTAAATTTTTGAGATTCAAAACACATATGTGTTGGTATCTCAAAATATACTTAATGGTTTCATAGGACCATCATCACTGGAACAAAATTGACTACTTTTTTATCAGTAGAGAACCATGTTATATAGATCCATTACAAACATCGACTCACATCAAGTGTTGTTACTGTTAATCTAGATGATTGCTGATTATAACTATAAACAACTCAAGGAACAATTGATCAGAAAAAATGTTATGTAATCCATTGACATCTATCTGTTTACTGTACAATAGCCTTTGTTACACCCTTTGAATGAATGTTTGCATTAAAGTGATCAGCCTGTGGCTTTTCTGTAGTGTTAGCAAAACACAGGTAGCTTTTTTGTGTTTTCAGCACTTTTGCGTTCTACTGCCTGTTGTCTGTCTTCTTCCTCTTGATCATTTGCTGTTTTCTATGGGGTTTAGGTTCTAGTAGTCTATGAGGATCATTGATACCATGGTCATTAAAGCAGTTGTTGGTACTTTTGGTAGTCTATGAAAGATTTTGTGGGAAAACAAGTCAGGATAATCATAAAGCTATTAGCAGAAGGAAGTCTGAGGTTTTTTTTACATTTTCTTGGAAACCCTAGCTTTGAATTAAATGGCACAGCGTTCCAAATAATCAGGGACTGTGTACATTTCACACTGGACCTAAAAACACTTTTCAAACTGTTCCTCTAGACCAGAATAATCTTTTCCAAATTAAATAAATGCAATAGTTTTTTTTTTTTCATCTGAGAAGACGACTGAATCACTGAACAACAACCCAAGCCTTTTTTCCTTAGCCTGGTAAAAACGAGAAATGCTGTGGTTGAAAAAAGGAATGCAACAATTTTAGTCGACTTTCTAGGTCCATCTGTTTGTGGTGGCTCTTGGGGCACTGGTTCCCAGCACAGCCTAATCTCACTAAAACTTTTCAATAGGCTTTGCCTCAGACTTTGGTTATCTACTGTCTTTCCAATCCCTTTAGATCCTCTATCTGTTGCACATGTTCTTTCCACTCATCTTGAACACTGCAATGAACAATCCTCCCCAAAATTGTTTATAATGTAGCATATGCATAACTTTTCTACAAAAACAAAAAAATGTTTTAACTTTCTAATGTAAACTAAGTTTCTGATATCTAATAAGATACCTAGGACAGTTAACATGAAAATGTTTTGCTAACACCAAATTTGCTAGGGACTCACTAATTATGTCCAATCAAATTCTATAGTCTGGGTTGTTTAACCTTAATTGTAATCTTCAAGAAACTAAGCAGATGATTAAAACATGATCTAAGCCTGATAAGAAAAATTCATTTTTTTCCTGATCTTTAAATGTATTAAGAAAGGACTAATCATGTTCTTCAGTGCATTTGTGTTGCTATAGTACAGATTGTTCCCAGCACGTCTACTTAAAATAGAGATGATTTTAATAAAAGCTTAAGCCTTTAAATTTCTCCCTCATGTAATAATAAATAATGACAGTACAGTATGAAACTCTCTGTATATTTACATTCCGAGCAGCCACGCTTCATAACAATTATAAGGGGATATTGTTCAACAGTTTTCCAACACTAATAAACCTCTTATAATAAGCCTGTCTTTAGCATGTAGGTCATAGAAAATGTCTACAAGAAATTTTGTGAGAAACTGCCGTTTTTCACTATCACAAACCATAATCGTCGAAATATGTTATACTTTTTGAAGAGAATCGCTGAACCCTAAATTGTCCAAGACAATCAGGTTTATTGAGTTGCACCTGTATGATTCTTATAATTTTCTTTTTAAGTCTGTCTCTTTAATCACTCAAATCTAACACATTAGGTATTGATAAGTAATACAGCACATTTTGCCATTCTTCCCGTTACCTGCAAATTCTTGGTTTTCAGTGCTATAACTATGCTCGCAGTCCACTCAAATGGTTTTAGTGAGGCGTGCTGACTGCATGTAGAAGCTCCCATATGCAGATGTGTGCAGCTTTGACATGCATGTCTGCTCTTGTCTGTGCAGCTGGTGGCCAACGCTGTGCTTTTCACCAGTGTCAACCTTTCGGGGGTGTTTGTGAGAGTTCTCACCGAGCGCACTCAGAGAAAGGTTTTTCTGCAGGCTCGCAATTGCATCGAGGAGCGGTTGCGGCTGGAAGACGAAAATGAGAAACAGGTGAGAAGTGAACTTCAACTTTACAGCTCCTTCAGAACTTTTTAAAAGTGTTCAGGTGCCACCGTATTCCAACAACCTGCCCACAGGCATGCAGTAACTATGACAGCAGCTATTTAAGGAAAGAACAATTACTGAGGCACATGCTGCAGTGCCACATGATCCTCCCCCTCCATGCACACCTACAAGGAAGGATTTAACTAAGCTACAATCAGGCAACTTTAACTTGCAGAAATTCTTCATTCTGAGCCTCACCTGTATTTTTTGCACTCAAAGAGAAATTTAAGTATACAATTTATACTCACAATTTACATACTGTCTTTTTTTTACATAATCCTTGCACACTTTGCACCTGTCCTTTGTAGATTAGGAAAAGATATGCTGTGTTTTCCCCGAGCAGTAACAGGCTCCCTTCTGACAGGCAATTATACAAGCAGATTGCTTCCATGCCCCCCCTACATCAGTAAAGGTCGTGGTTTACTTAGGAAAGAGAAACACATGCAGTTATCTGATCAGGATATACTGGCAAACATCTGCCTGTGTTGTTCATGAGCATAGGTCTTGGAGTAGATGATCGCCTATCAAATGGCATAAAACATGCCTATATTTATCACTCAGAGTGTGTTTTGGAGCAGGATGCAGGTCGTATTGACTCCGGAACAACCAAGGGCTATATTCCATCCGCCTCTGTGGTAAATCGGCTCTCCTGCTCAATATTCGAAGAAGTGGAAAACAATACAAAGCTTCCTCTTCATTTTACTGGTGTTTGCCTTTCCACTAAACTCGGTCTGATTGGAATGAAGTTATCTGAAATAAATTCTCACCATCTCTAAGGCTGATTGATTTGGCATGGAAACAATATATATATTTTTTGTCTATAACTTAGTAAAAAGTTAATGAAGATAAATATCTATTACATTTTTATGGAAATGGAACCTTTGAACTTCCCTGTAGGCTTCAATGCATTTATTCTGAATCAAGATGTGTGTCGAAGTTTTACTGCAGCAACTGAGGTGAATTCGGCAGATTTATACAGCACCTGCAAAACTATCCAAACTCCATAAACATCTTGTCACATTGCAATAAAAAACTTTGAGAAATTATGTGATTCATCATCACAAAGTAGTGGATAACTGTAAAGTGGAAGGAAATGTTATACATAGTTTTCAAATTTTGCATGCCATCAAAAGCAGGTTTGCAATTATTCAAACCCATTTGTTTAATATTTTCAGAACCATCTTTAACAGCTAAGATGTAAATACACCTGGCAGGTTTACAGTGTTTATGACATCTGGTGGCGGCTTACATGTCTATTTATAGAAATGGAAATTTACATTAGATTCTTTAAAAGAACCTTCCAACCAACATGTTTAGCAACAGGGTTCTGAGTGGAGATGAATTTTTGCTATGTGGGTAGGTAATTTAATCACACTGGTAAAACGATCTAGAAAAAAGTGTATTTACCCTTAATTTGAGTAAGTAAATAAGATGATCTACCAATGGAATGAGTATTTTTAATCTTAAAATAAGATAATTAGATAATATGCACTTGAAATAAGACAATCCAATTCTGGTTTCTTATTTTAAGTGTAAATTGTCTTGTTCCATTGACAAAATGTTTATTTTACCTCCTCAATCCAAGAACAAATGCATTTATTTTAAGAAAGATTGACTTATCTAAATTTAGTTTTTTTTTTTTTCCAGTGCAGTGTATTACATACATAAAAAAGTATGTCCTATCTTTTGGTAAATTAAAAGCCTGTGTCTTTACCATCTAGTTAAAAATCACGTTTTATTTGTTACAACTATAAAAAGAACCACTTAAGGCTTCGTGAATTGTTTTGTAAAAAGAGCATTAAGCAGGAGGCACACCTTAACCTACCTTCTGCTAGTTGATGAGGTGTTATGGGAAGATCTATGACAATGGATGTTGTTTTCCTGTTTCTTCCCTGCTAAACAGGAGCGTAAAATACATATCTGAAATAAGAACCGAAACCTGATTTAGCGTAGTGTAGGAGTGCCCTGAACTCCTGTATTAGGTGTCTAGTGAATATAATCTAATTGTTTCGAATGAAATGTCACATGCGTAACCTACATATAGCTTGCTTTGTTGTGCTTACACACTTCAATGCATCTTGTGTATTTCCCGATTATTTATGGAGCTAATCTCTATGGTCAACTTTGACCAGCCTTTCTGTCCCTACTAAAATATACAACTCCATAGCATGAAGTTACCACCACATTGTTTTTCTGGAGGTTTTCCGAGTGAAGAGTTTGCAGAAATTAAACTTTGTTGGCTAAATACAGCAGGGTTGTTGATTAAGTGACACGAACTAGTTGAAACTCATCAAGAGAATGAGAAGCAGCAGAGATAAGAGACCAATAAAATTACTCAAGCATGAAGTAAAAGACCGGCACTGATATAAGAATCTAAATAAAGAAAAAAGCATGAGAAAAAACTATGAATCACAAAATATTAAGTAAAAATTGGGTCATAGAGAAAACCTAAATGACAAGACCTCCAGATTGCAACAAAATTAGAGAATTTAGGAGCTTAGTATATTCAGTAGATGAAATTATATTTCTGTGCTGTTCCTAATTCGGGGAATCCTCAGGCTGAAAACTCCCTGCTATTGAGTTATTGTGTTTTAAAGCTTGCAACAATGGTTTTCATTTTATTACTATTTTTCTATCTTGAACTTTGTAGATGCTTGAGACGGAGCAGTCTCCAGGACATGTAGCTCACTGCAGAATAAATTGCCTTTCTCTCAGCAAACAAAAATCTGCAACATAATGCAGCTAATACTGAGTGACCTAAGCTTCAAAAATGAAATCTATTCTGAACAAAGAAAATGCTTTCTTTAAGGATCTCAATAGTTGTTACCACTTGATAAAAGTCAGATTTGTGGACTGCATGGCTACTAGCTGTCCTGTAAACAGATTCCTCCACCTGGTCTGTGATGAGTCATCAGAGGCCTCTTGAGTGCTCCTCTGGTAAATGCTCCCCTTGTCCAGCCTGTCAGTTTATGATGCCAACTTCTGGGTAGAGGTGTCACACTCTTTCCTTTCACAGATGATAGATTGTGAGATGTGGGATACGGTATAATAACCTTTGATCTTCGTGACATCACTAATATTTATTCATATTCTTTAGATAACCCTCAAGGACTTCAGTGGATAACTGTACTTATGCCGAGAGGGAATAAAACAAAACAAAACAAAAAAGACTTTATTGTAACTTCTAGGGGCATTGGCAATAATAAGGAGAGGGGGTATGAATAATAGGTTTTACTTCTTCACACCCCTTTTCAGCCATTTTCCATTAATTAATATCTAAGGGTATACATACCTATAGGTTTATTTACCTGGAAATTTTGTTTGTTTTATTGATTTTGTTTAGGTTTAACAATAACGAGGTGGTGGTGGAAAATTGTAATCAATCAATCAATCAATCGATCAATCAATCAATCAATCAATCAATGAATTAATCAATCAATCAATCAATCAAAATTTACTGTTTATAATAAATTTCATTTAGGTGGTTAAAATTTTTTAAAGGATTTAGCGAATGAGTTTATCCAAAGCAAAAATAAAAACCAAGCTTTTGAAGCTAATGGTACACCCTGACCGAGTGTCAGTGAGGATTTCCGGGAGCCCCATGGGGAGTTCACTGCTCTGCATATCAGATGTAGAGGCCATTTCTCAATATGTTGCGTTCTCATGTGCTCGTGTACTCATAAAACATCATCAGCCTTGGCCCTAATACTGCTCCAATTCAGAGAAACACAAGACAGAGAACGGGCAAAGTCCCTGGATGTTGTTCTCGCCCCTCCCTCTTTACCTAGTATGCATCTGGGCGTCCTCCAGACTGACAGCTTTCCCAGCATGCACTACGGCAGCAGCAAATTCCAGGGAGCACTCAGAGTATTAAGTTAAAAGTTTACTTCTCTGTTGCTATGGTTCTACAAAAGTATGTTTTAAGATCATTTGAGGCAAGAACATTATACATTTAAGCTTCACTATATGGCCCATTTACTGATTTAGTGCATCATAAAAAAAGTTCCAATGTTGAGAGGACCATGGCAACCAGCAGAGCTCCGAATCTGACCACAGTCAGGGCTAATCTTAGCTCGTCTGCAGCAGCCCTCTCTCTGCATACCTGTGTGTGAATTATCGCTGACTCTGATGATGATTTTTTGGTTTTATTTGGCAAAATATTAATATTAATTGTGTTTATCTGACTGTGTTAATTATTATTCCCCCACTAAATGCAAAAAGTCATATCTAGAGACTATCAACAACAGGAGGTGAAATGCAGCTCCAGAAAAGCTTTGAATGTGGTGACATCACAAGTACGCATCTGTTCCAATTCTTCTGTTCTTCTAGAAACCATACTTTACTGTTTACTGTTCTTGTGAATTGAGAAACGGCCATAGTGTTTACACCCCGGACTGCATCATCAAATAGGAGAAGCTTCAGCTGTGAAAAAACTCAGCAAGTAGACTGAATGTTTATCGCTTCCTTGATGCAGTAAAATGGTCATTTGTTAAAATACATAAATAAATAAATAAACAAATAAACGATCAAGTGTACTACTGTTGTTTCAGAGATTTATGTAAGATTATATCTCTGAAACAACAGCTCTCGTTTCATGATATAAGTCATTCCATAACATCATCCATCATTCTTGTGCTTGCATTGCTTATAACAGTGGGCATATTTACCATATTCTGTTGTTTAATATTTAGTAAATCACCAGCCTTCCAGACCCCTTTAATTTGGACTTGCTGTTACCCTTTGCAACCCCATGGCATTTCCTGTCAAGGAAATATTGTCGGTATTTCAGAATAAAAGCACAGGTAAAACTGAACTTCCCTGACTAATGCTAAATTTTTCTCTGAACAACTTTTGAATCAGCTTGGGAGTAGGCCTACCATCAATTCTATTTGGAAAAGCCCCCTAGAGCACTGAAAAAAAAGAGTCCTCAATGTTTTATCAAGAGC